TTTTTGTTGTTTTTTTAATTTCCTATCATACTTTGGTGTCATTATATTTCTCCCACTTTCGATCTCTAGCTTATGATCAAGATAGTAGATTGGGAAAAGGGGCAAAATCATAGAGACAAACGTCATGGGTTGACGGTGAAACTAACTTGTCCACATCTAGAACCAGTCCATCTGTAGACGGAGGTAAGAAATGAAAATGGACAAGCACGGATTTAATGACGTATGGAGCGGTAACTATGGATGTAATGACGTATGGACCGGTAACTATGGATGTAATGACGTATGGAGCGGTAACTCTGGTTGTAATGACGTATGGAGCGGTAACTATGGATGTAATGAAGTATGGAGCGGTAACTCTGGTTGTAATGACGTATAGAGCGGTAACTATGGATGTAATGACGTATGGAGCGGTTACTATGGATGTAATGTCGTATGGAGCGGTAACTGTGGTTGTAATGACGTATGTAGCGGTAACTATGGAGGTAATGACGTATGGATCGGTAACTATGGATGTGATGACGTATGGAGCGATAACTATGGATGTAAGGACGTATGGAGCGGTAAATCTGGTTGTAATGACGTCTGGAGCGGTAACTATAGATGTAATGACGTATGGTGCTGTAACTATGGATGTCATGACGTATGGAGCCGTAACTATGGATGTAATGAAGGATGGAGCGGTAACTATAGATGTAATGACGTATGGAGCGGTAACTATGGATGTAATGACGTATGGACCGGTAACTATGGATGTAATGAAGTATGGAGCGGTAACTCTGGTTGTAATGACGTATGGAGCGGTAACTATGGATGTAATGACGTATTGAGCGGTAACTATGGATGTAATGACGTATGGAGCGGTAACTATGGATGTAATGACAAATGAAATATTCAGTACATGTAATGATATTTATGCAGTGGTCATTACGGATGTAAGAACATATGACGTGGTCTGTGCGGACGTAAGAACTTATTTAGTGGTCATTATGGATGTAATAACATATGTTGTAGTCGGTGCGGACGTAAGGACATCTCACAGTTGTCAGTATTGACGCATCCTCGCTATCCACTTTCGCTTACCCCTGGATATCGAGGATGGTATTGACTTAACGACATATGTATAGTAGTCAGTGCGGACGTAATGACATATTGAGTGGTAAGTGAAGATGTAATGACGTAATGACATACGTATTGGTAATAACGGATGTAAGGACATATGTAGTAGTCAACGCGTACGTAATGACATATGAAGTGGTTAGTGTGGACGTTAAGACATATGAAGTGGTCAGTGTGGACGTTATGACATATGTAGTAGTCAACGCGTACGTAATGACATATGAAGTGGTCAGTGTGGACGTTAATGACATATGTAGTGGTTAGTGTGGACGTTAAGACATATGGAGTGGTCAGTGTGGACGTTATGACATATGTAGTGGTCAACGCGTACGTAATGACATATGAAGTGGTCAGTGTGGACGTTAATGACATATGTAGTGGTCAGTGTGGACGTTAAGACATATGAAGTGGTCAGTGTGGACGTTATGACATATGAAGTGGTCAGTGTGGACGTTATGACATATGTAGTGGTCAGTGTGGACGCTATGACATATGTAGTGGTCAGTGTAGACGTTAATACATATGTAGTGGTCAGTGTGGACGTTTGACATATGTAGTGGTCAGTGTGGCCGTTAAGACATATGTAGTGGTCACTGCGGACGTTAAGACATATGTACTAGTCAGTGTGGACGTTAAGACATATGCAGTGGTCAGTGTGGACGTTATGACATTTGTAGTGGTCAGTGTGGACGTTTGACATATGTAGTGGTCAGTGTGGGCGTTAAGACATATGAAGTGGTCAGTGTGGACGTTAAGACATATGTAGTAGTCAGTGTGGACGTTATGACATATGAAGTGGGTAAGACCACATGCTGTGTCCTTTGGGATACATCGTCACTGATTGGATTATGTCATAAAGTGCAGTTGACATGTGATAGTGTTGAATTATTTACTATCTACAGGTGTAAATATCACAGGTAAGCCCGGTCTTTGGCCCTTTAAAGACGTAATCTTTCGTTAGTGTCGATACGATAATTATCTCATTGCTAAGCGTAATAATTTACGAAGAATGGAACCAATTAATTGGACACATAAATTAGATCTAGTTAGTTGTACTACGGGAAAAGTTATAGAACCGTCTGTATGCAAGTAAAACTATATGGTGTGCTGCGTGTACGTTACATCAACAAATCTTCTAGACAAACCTACCAAATGAAAATGGTGGCGACGAAAAATTAAGAAACGTTATCTCCTCCCCCAATAACATTTGCCTAAATCGTGTGTGTTGTTCTTCCCTTCGAACGTTCTTACAATTCCGACATTTGCATAAATCCTTTGGTGTCATTCCTTTCGAATATTTGTTTGTAGACATGTTTTTTTTTGAAGACCATGTCCCGACCATAGGTAATTATCGATGTCTGAGAAATTTTACCACGGAACTGGACCCTGTCCCGACCGTAGGTCAGTTATCAATGTCATTATCGATGTCTGTGAAACTATACCACGGACGTGGATCCTGTTCCGACCGTAGGTCAGTATCAATGTCATTATCGATGTCAGAGAAATTATACCACGGACGTGGACCCTGTCCCGACCGTAGGTCAGTATCAATGTCATTATCGATGTCTGAGAAATTATACCACGGACGTGGACCCTGTCCCGACCGTAGGTCAATATCAATGTCATTATCGATGTCTGAGAAGTTACACATGGACGTATACCCTGTCCCGACCGTAGGTCATTATCGATGTCTTAGAAATTATACCACGGACGTGGACCCTGTTCCGACCGTAGGTCATTATCGATGTCTGAGAAGTTATACCACAGACGTGGACCCTGTCATGACCGTAGGTCATTATCGATGTCTGAGAAATTATACCACGGACGTGGACCCTATCCCGACCGTAGGTCATTATCGATGTCTGAGAAATTATACCAAGGACGTGGACCCTTTCCCGACCGTAGGTCAGTATCGATGTCTGAGTCGATGTCTGAGAAATTGTACCACGGACGTGGACCCTTTCCCGACCGTAGGTCATTTTTGATGTCTGAGAAGTTATACCACGGACGTGGACCCTGTCTCGACCGTAGGTCATTATCGAGGTCTGAGAAATTATACCACGGACGTACGCGTGGACCCTGTCTCGACCGTAGGTCATTATAGATGTCTGGGAATTTATACCACGGACGTGGACCCTGTCTCGACCGCAGGTCATTAACGATGTCTGAGAACTTATACCACGGACGTGGACCCTGTCCCGACCGTAGGTCATTATCGATGTCTGAGAAATACTACCACAGACGTGGACCCTGTCCCGACCGTAGGTCATTATAGATGTCTGAGAAATTATACCACGGAAGTGGACCCTGTCCCGACCGTAGGTCATTATCGATGTCTGAGAAATTATACCACGGACGTGGACCCTGTCCCGTCTGCAGGTCATTATCCTTGTCTGAGAAATTTTACCACGGACGTGAACCCTGTCCCGACCGTAGGTCATTATCGATATTTGAGAAATTTTACCACGGACGTGGACCCTGTCCCGAACGTAGGTCATTATCGATGTCTGAGAAATTATACCACGGACGTGGACCCTGTCCCGACCGTAGGTCAGTATCAATGTCATTATCGATGTCTGAGAAGTTATACCATGGACGTGGACCCTGTCCCGACCGTAGGTCATTATCGATGTCTTAGAAATTATACCACGGACGTGGACCCTGTTCCGACCGTAGGTCATTATCGATGTCTGAGAAGTTATACCACGGACGTGGGCCCTGTCATGACCGTAGGTCATTATCGATGTCTGAGAAATTATACCACGGACGTGGACCCTATCCCGACCGTAGGTCATTATCGATGTTTGAGAAATTATACCACGGACGTGGACCCTTTCCCGACCGTAGGTCAGTATCGATGTCTGAGTCGATGTCTGAGAAATTATACCACGGAAGTGGACCCTTTCCCGACCGTAGGTCAGTATCGATGTCTGGGTCGATGTCTGAGAAATTATACCACGAACGTGAACCCTGTCCCGACCGTAGGGCATTTTTGATGTCTGAGAAGTTTTGCCACGGACGTGGACCCTGTCTCGACCGAAGGTCATTAACGATGTCTGAGAACTTATACCACGGACGTGGACCCTTTCCCGACCGTACGTCAGTATCGATGTCTGGGTCGACGTCTGAGAAATTATACCACAGACGTGGTCCCTGTCCCGACCGTAGGTCTTTATCGATATTTGAGAAATGTTACCACGGACATGGACCCTGTCCCGAACGTAGGTCATTATCGATGTTTGAGAAATTATACCACGGAAGTGGACCCTGTCCCGACCGTAGGTCTTTATCGATATTTGAGAAATTATACCACGGACGTGGACCCTGTCCCGTCTGCAGGTCATTATCGATGTCTGAGAAATTTTACCACGGACGTGAACCCTGTCCCGACCGTAGGTCTTTATCGATATTTGAGAAATTTTACCACGGACGTGGACCCTGTCCCGACCGTAGGTCATTATCGATGACTGAGAAATTATACCACGGACGTGGACCCTTTCCCGACCGTAGGTCAGTATCTATGTCCGGGTCGATGTCTGAGAAATTATACGCCGAACGTCAACCCTGTCCCGACCGTAGGTCATTTTTGATGTCTGAGAAGTTATACCACGGACGTGGACCCTGTCTCGAGCGCAGGTCATAGGTCAGTATCAATGTCATTATCGATGTCTGAGAAATTATACCACGGACGTGGACCCTGTTCCGACCGTAGGTCAGTATCGATGTCTGAGAAATTATATCACGGACGTGGACCCTGTCTCGACCGTAGGTCAGTATCGATGTCTGAGAAATTATATCACGGACGTGGACCCTGTTCCGACCGCAGGTCAATATTAATGTAGTACTATTATGGCAGTTAAAACACGAACGAGGATGAAACATGAGATACTTTTATTGCGATGTAATGTATTATAAATAAATACGATGTAATAATATATACAGGCGTGTTAAACACGTGCATGAGATATGAACTACAGAGTCTGGGGACAAAACACCATTGACATATATATCCGGGACAAAACACCATTGACATATATATCCGGGACAAAACACCATTGACATATATATCCGGGACAAAACACCATTGACATATATATCCGGGACAAAACACCATTGACATATATATCCGGGACAAAACACCATTGACATATATATCCGGGACAAAACACCATTGACATATATATCCGGGACAAAACACCATTGACATATATATCCGGGACAAAACACCATTGACATATATATCCGGGACAAAACACCATTGACATATATATCCGGGACAAAACACCATTGACATATATATCCGGGACAAAACACCATTGACATATATATCCGGGACAAAACACCATGAACACATACATACGGGAGAAAACGGCAGTAACATATACATCGGCGGCAAAACACCAGTGGCGTATACATCCGGGAACAAAACACCAGAAACATATACATCCGGGGACACAACGCCAAGATTAAAAAAACATCCGGGGACCATACGCCAGTGTCAAAACACAAGCAAGACATACATCAAGGGACAAAATATTATTAAGATTTACATCTAGGGACAAAACATGAATATGACATACATTTAGGGACAAAACATGAATAAGACATACATCTTGGGACAAAACATGAATATGACATACATCTGGGGACAAAACATGAATAAGACATACATCTGTGGACAAAACATTAATATGACATACATTTAGGGACAAAACATGAATAAGACATACATATAGGGACAAAACGCCAGTAAGACATACATTAAATGTAGTATGAGTTAAAATGGACAACTTCTAATACTCGACAGAAACCCTGTGAAGATGAGATAGACATGTTCAGACAATAAGCTTGGCTCAGTACATGAACATGTCACGACTCTTTGTAGTCGTCATGGGAGACATTGTAGAACGTTTTACATTACACATGACTAACAAAGAATTTGATTCGTGTAATAACAACGATATTCCGCTAAGCATACTGTGATACAACTCTGGGTTGACACGAGGATGTTCAACTAGAAATATAACCCGAACAAAGACAAGTGGGTTAAAATTTTCAAACCGGATCATCGTTATGTTTAATTCATGCTTTGTAGAATAAGACACGGGTATCAACAAAAACAGCTTTTAATTTCTCATTTGAAATTCAACGTTGTTGAACAATACAATACGATCTGTTGTAAATGTTTTATTCTTATTCTAATTTATTTTTTAAACTGAAAACTAGTACAGTGAAAGCGATAATTGATTCATCTATAAAATCAGAAAAAAACAATTAATATGTGATTATTCACGAAACGAATGCGAATAAAACGTGTATAATACTACCATATCTGATTCCTGTCTGATCCCCATATAGATAAAGTGCTGTCGGATTCATACTCAATAAATAAATAAATAACGTTATACACACTAACATCCTCAAACCTAAACGTCTGGACAGAAACATGGCAACATTCTACTGGTCTTCAAGAAGGAATATTGATATGATATTATAGAGATCCTTTCAAAACTAATCTTCAAGCACTTCATCAAACGAATTGTTTATCTGGGGATGGTTAGAGAAAAAATATCGCGATGTGTTGATAGTACGACACGAACAACAGTAAATCATCATTTTGAAATACCAAATAGAAACGTACTCCGCACTGGTGTTCTGGTGACATTACATAAGTACACAAACTTTGATGACGTGATGCGTGATGATAATGTGATGTTCTTCGTTAAAAAATAAACGATACAAACCAAAATCAACGATGAGGCCCTGTTAAACATGCCATATGTGAAATTACAGTTTGCATAAAAAAAAATCAAACTGAATTCTACGGTAGTGATTTGGTTTTATTTTTGTAAGGTCCTATTAACAGCTCAAGTCTTTTAAGGACGTTCTACGGAAGTGGGTCACGAGCACTACACGTAAGAATATGGTTCTAAGTATTATATTTGGAAAAACGCGCAAAAGCGTCAAAGAGGAGGATTTTTCTTCTTTCAATATTATATATTTCTAATACGTTAGATAAATGACCTGTTAAAGCTATACCGGAAGTACGTTTACATACCTATAGTGAAATATAACAATTATTCAGGTTTTTTGTCTTTTCTTAATGATAATCACATGAGCTAACACAGCCCGGAGGGAATATCTGAAAAGTCATTGATAAGTTTAAACTGTTAATGAGCGATCGGTGTGGGATGGCGCTTTTGTTCACCAGACAGGTACTAAAAGTCAGTAGCTACTTCATAGTGTAGTTTAACGACGCCGTGTAGCACTCGACAACGCCAGAAGATAGTCTCAGGGCGATGTGTCTACATTAAAGGTTGTTCAATTTCTAAATCCAAACTGTCATGTAATAAAAATGTGAAATTATCTGAAAATATGGAGAAAAAATAAATTGTAAATATGATATGGCATATATATTGCTGCTAGGTTATTCCTTGTGCTCGTCACGTGGACGAGCTTGCGCACTACTGTCTGAGGAGGACGCGACCACACAATCTTGGGACTGCGGTAAAGTACACGTAACCCCTTCCTTTGTGTGCCAGTTTGGGATCCACAGACACGTCATTTTCTGACAGGCTGTCGACAGACCTGCCATGACGTCATCCGTTTATGCAGTCTTAACACAGTTTTCATAGTAAACTTTTATGAAGGTGTAGATTCTTGTCTCCTGTTTGGGCGGAATGAGAATTATTTACAACTGTCCGTATCTCCTGTTGATGTGTGTACGATTGTAGGTCCCACCACGGAATGTCTGATCGGATGGTGTCTGCCGTATTGTATCGTACTTATCAAAGTCCTATTGTATTATATCAACACCATGGACGTCGCGCTGTATAACAGTCATACGCCATTCTGTCATTCACATATAAACAACACATCGGAAACGGACCGTTGTCGAACTTTACACATATTTGTATTACTCCGCACAGAAATACGAGGTCTGCATTGAATACAGTTTGTTGATGTGATTGGTTACGCATCCATTTTTCATTCCGTCCTGCGCAACTTCCTGTGATTTTTGTTCTGGCGAACCAGCTGAATCGTCCGATGATGTTGGCATGTCCATAAATATATTGGATCCGTCCACAACAGGAAACACAGTCCCTACAAAGAAAAAACAGGTCATTATTGTCTCCTTTGTCCTGGGTAGATAGCGTACCCCTCCGATCTCTAAGTCACGTGCAACATGTCAATTTATTTATCAAATATATATAAACAGGACATATCAATAAGACGCATTGTAAAGAAATTAGCCGATTTTTTCACCAAAATGGTACATACCGTCCATGTCGGCAGAAAACCTTTTTCTGTTCTCATCCCCCTCCTGGACCGGAAATCGATCTTGATCTAAATCAGAATTCTTCCCTTTCCGCTTCCGGTCTTTACCGCATGAGTCCGGACTCTGACGTCGTGACATTTTCTTCACCTGTTCAAGAATGGTCAAAAGGTTATGTTGGCCAATATTTCAGTAAAACCTGCATCAAATGAACATAAGAATGAATTTATTTTTCAATTCTCTAGAAACTAAAACTACATGAAAAATGTTTTGAAACCGGTATGTTAAACTGCATAGCTATCATTCTCATTTACACGTTTACAAGTCATTGTAATATACAACTTTCATTGTCACATGTGTAGACATTGTCACGCGCATAGACACTAGGTATTGATAGTGCAGGCCCTAACGACAACACACTTATCATATATCACGTGGTCAAAGTCAGAAACACGATGTACCGAACAAAGTGTCAAATGTCCAGATTTCTGTCTACCATCTACAGCGATTGTACGTCAACACCTCCAACTCATGTACTTTAAACATTCGCCAATCAAAATGTTAAGTTTGCCATGAATTATTCATGACTCTTACCATTATAGGACATTATAAATATAAAAATTGGAATGTTCTAAACCCCTTAACTTCGACAGATGAAAAGGCATGTGTACTTCTCATCTATAAATTTTGATGAGTGTTTTATCATTTTGGAAAATTTGATCAAAATCAAATTAAAAAACTTGACATGTTATTTTCAGAAAATGTCGAACAGTTTTGGTAAAATATCTCCCTTCTGTGCGACATGTCATTGAAAGGGGCTGATGAAATGATAATTAATCTCCGGACTTTTTGAGATCCGCGATATCATGACAGGTGTTATATAAACGTGTTCAGTAATAACGGAATCAATTAGATCTCATGCATACTGATTACACCGCATTGAAAAATGGAAGGAAGGAATTCCAGAATAGAAGTTTTAAATGTTTTGGCAGAGTAATAATGTACTTCTGGAACAATTGAGCGACGGTTGACCAGGCGGCGCCGTGCACGTGTCGAGTGACAATTTCAAGGTCTAAGCTGTAATTAGGGTGTGGGTTACAGCCATTCCTTGACCAGACGGGGAACACGAGACACTGTCGGTATTGTACCCTGGGTGATACTCGCCACGTAATGAGACTTTGGTGAGACAGTCATTTCTATAACTCTCCATACAAACCCCGCACAGTACGTATAGATATTACGTGAACGACCGTGTAATTATCGTCTTTAATTATTTCAGGGTATGGGTACTGAAAAGGACGATTGTGTTTTTTTCGTAAATAGTCGTAAGTTGTGTGTTCGTTCGTCATTAAACACCTACACAGTTTAACTCTCTCTGACTAACGATTCCTTGACTAGCAAACTTCCCGTTGCCCATACGGTTCTTGAAGTAACTACTACACATGTCTACGGCCCCCTTCCTTTATAGAACTTTACAAATTATGTTATTAATATTATATATTAAATATCATGTGTATATTTTTTATCTTACTAACGCCTTTTTTCCAATTGTCTGCCTTGACTGTCCGTCAGATGGCGCCACCCACCATGTCTGATTTCCCCTTACTAACGTCAGATGGCGCCTTTTCTACTATGTCTGATTTACCCCTTGTTTACGTCAGATAGCGGCATTCTCTGCTATGTTTGTAGTTCCTTTGCTAAAGTCAGATGGCGCTTTTTATCATGTTCTCTAACCAACCGACCTTCCCCGCCTTGTTTATTCAGGTCTTCATTCTACCTACCTTCGCTCGTTGGTTCTGGAACCACACCTGTACGACTCTCACAGTGAGTCCAGCTTCAGCAGCCAACTGTTCTCGTATCTACAAGGGAGAATACATTTTAATAAACGAGTTCCCCAATGCAATCAGCTTTCACAATGTCTCAATACAGGATTTCTGAATAGCCCACATAGTTTTGATATCACTTTGTACAACAGTTCTGTTGGGTTCGGGTTAAATTTTATGCTGAGCTTCATTTTATGGGTATTCATGGTGGCATTGATCTTGTATGACGTTTTATGTTAACAACATTTGGGTAGTTTTTTGAAAGTATTGAAGCTTTTAGATAACCTTGAACCTGTACGACACTTACTTTTCTACATGGTTTGGGGTTAATCTCAAACGCGGCCTTGAACTTGCGTCGTTGACTCGTCGTCAGTATCGTCCGCGGTCGTTTCGTATGTCGCTCATTGTCGGTATCCATATCCTCATAACTGTCGCTGTCGTCGTCCATAGCATCTGAAGTAGAACATGGAATTTTGCAATGACACAATTTCACTAAATACACAAGTGTGTAATTTATTCTATCTATTTTGTTTATAAAAAGATTCAATCGGTGCTTCGTACTGTGTCTACAGTGTACCACTGTGCCTTCAATGTTATACCGTGTTTATTTAAAGAGTATTGTACCGTGTCTATAGTGTACCATGCTGTGTCTTCAATGTTACACTGCGTACCATACCGTGTCTATTTAACGGGCGTTGTACCGTAGTTATAGTGTACTGTACTGTGCTTTCCATGCACAGTATCTCCAGTGTATAATCATGGACATCGATTATGGATTATGGATTATGGATATCTAATACATCGTTTACAAGAAACATTTATAATTCAATGCAATTGTTACAGTAGAAATGTGTTTTGATATTTTGTAAATTGAACAATCATAACAGTAAATTCTGCTAACCAGCATGATATAGCGAATAGGGGAAAGTGACATCCGGGAACTATTAATGATATACTGAAGTAACCGATGTTTGTAACTATTTGTAGTTTTCTGTAATCGACCAGAAAATTCAATGATTCAAGACTAATTCGTTTCGCTATTTTGGTAAGTGCCAACTGTACTCATTACCACAACAATGTCACCAAAACATAGATATGTCTGTATGTCCTTTCTACCACTAAAATGTTACCCATACATTGATATGTATGTCTGTCTGAACTCTCTACCACTACAATGTCACCCAGTCATTGATATGTCTGTCTGAACTCTCTACCAATATAATGTTACCCAGACATTGATATGTCTGTCTGACCTCTCTACCACTACAATGTTACCCATACATTGATATGTATGTCTGTCTGAACTCTCTACAACTACAATGTCACCCAGTCATTGATATGTCTGTCTGTACTCTCTGCCAATATAATGTTACCCATACATAGATATGTCTGTTTGTCCTTTCTACCACCACAATGTCACCCAGTCATTGATATGTCTGTCTGAACTCTCTACCAATATAATGTTACCCATACATAGATATGTCTGTTTGTCCTTTCTACCACTACAATGCCACCCAGACATTGATATGTCTGTCTGACTTCTCTACCACTACAATGTCACCCAGTCATTGATATGTCTGTCTGTACTCTCTACCAATATAATGTTACCCATACATAGATATGTCTGTTTGTCCTTTCTACCACTACAATGCCACCCAGTTATTGATATGTCTGTCTGACTTCTCTACCATTACAATGCCACCCAGACATAGATAAAGTTGTATGTCTGTCCTCTCTTCCAATACAATGCCACCCAGGCACTCATCTGTATATCTGTCCTCTCTACCACTTCATAGTCACCCAGACATATATATACATATGTTTGTCTGTCATGTCTACCACTACAATGCCACCCAGTCATTCATCTGTATGTCTAACTGTATGACTGTCCGTAATCTCTACCACTACAATGTCACCCATTGATCTGTCTGTCTGGTCCTCAATCTCTACCACTACAAAGTCCTCAGACAGACAGATCACTGTCTGAGGACTTTGTCGTGGTAGAGATTGAAGACCAGACAGACAGAGAGATCAATGTCTGAGTACTTTGTAGTGGCAGAGCTTGAGGACCAGAGAGACAGATCAATGTCTGATGACTTTGTAGTGGTAGGGATTGAGGACAGACATACAGACAGATCAATGGGTGACATTGTAGTGGGAGAGAGTTCAGACAGACATATCAATAACTGGGTGGCATTGTAATGGTAGAGAAGTCAGACAGACATATCAATAACTGGGTGGCATTGTATTGGAAGAGAGGACAGACATACAGACAGATCAATGGCTGAGGACTTTGTATTGGCAGAGATTTAGGACAGACAGACAGACAGACAGCTAAATGTCTGAGGACTTGGTAGTGGGAGAGATTGAAGACCAGCCAGACAGACAGACAGATAAATGTCTGAGGACTTGGTAGTGGGAGAGATTGAAGACCACTACAAAGTCCTCAGACATTGATCTGTCTGTCTGTCTGTCTGGTCTTCAATCTCTACCACTACAAAGTCCTCAGACATTGATCTGTCTGTCTGGCTGTCCTAAATCTCTGCCACTACAAAGTCTTCAGACATTGATCTGTCTGTCTGTCTGGTCCTCAATCTCTGCCACTACAAAGTCTTCAGACATTGATCTGTCTGTCTGTCTGTCCTAAATCTCTGCCAGTACAAAGTCTTCAGACATTGATCTGTCTGTCTGTCTGTCTGTCCTAAATCTCTACCAATACAAAGTCCTCAGACATTGATCTGTCTGTCTGTATGGTCCTCAATCTCTACCACTCCAAAGTCCTCAGACATTGATCTGTCTGTCTGTCTGGCCTTAATCTCAACCCCTACAAAGTCCTCAGACATTGATCTGTCTGTCTGGCTGTCCTAAATCTCTGCCACTACAAAGTCTTCAGACATTGATCTGTCTGTCTGTCTGTCCTCAATCTCTACCACTACAAAGTCCTCAGACATTGACCTGTCTGTCTGTCTGTCCTAAATCTCTGCCAGTACAAAGTCTTCAGACATTGATCTGTCTGTCTGTCTGTCCTAAATCTCTGCCAGTACAAAGTCTTCAGACATTGATCTGTCTGTCTGTCTGGTCCTCAATCTCTACCACTAAAAAGTCCTCAGACATTGATCTGTCTGTCTGGCTGTCCTAAATCTCTGCCACTACAAAGTCTTCCGACATTGATCTGTCTGTCTGTCTGGTCCTCAATCTCTACCACTAAAAAGTCCTCAGACATTGATCTGTCTGTCTGTCTGTCCTAAATCTCTGCCACTACAAAGTCTTCAGACATTGATCTGTCTGTCTGTCTGGTCCTCAATCTCTGCCACTACAAAGTCCTCAGACATTGATCTGTCTCTCTGGTCCTCAATCTCTGCCACTACAAAGTACTTCTAAACACCAACATCAGTATCCCTCCTTTCGGTAGGTATGTTATCACACCATGTGTCATGTCAGTAGTATGCCTTATTCTAGTAACACTTTAGGTTGATATTTTTCGCTTTCTTTAACAAATCGATTATTCCATTGATTTCCTTTTTGACGACTTGTCAGATTAGGCAAAGTGTGAGCCATTGCAAAACCTTCATCGATACCGGACCGGTTCTGTTCAGACAATTGGGGAATATATACATTTGCAGGTGGAAGCTTAAACCGACATGTTTTGTGTACCGATTAAACTCTCAAACCCAAGTGCGAGTAAATACTGAACTACAATCTTACACGATGGTACAGCGACCAACGCGACAATTTCGAGATTTTCTAGTCACTAAATGGTCGGGTTTAATCTCACGTGCTCTCTCTCTACCACGGGTAATCCGAAGGTGTTGGGAGGTAAAAAGATGGGTCCAAAAAAGTGCGCGTTATCCGGGTACTTGACATTCTGTTAATGCCGAGGTCAACGAATCAGTCAATCATAGGGTGTGGGTCGGTGTTACCGATGTTTACCGGGTTTACTGATATATAGTGATGATGTCGGCACTCTGCTGTAACATCGAGTGCTGGGCACACTTCACGCTGCACTACTCCAGTAACACCGGTTAGAATTTCTAGTGCAGTATTTTAGAAAGTCAACAATGCTCCATAGTGTTGCTTTGTTTAAAGGGTTGATGTGGATGACGGTCTGCCCCTTTTACTGAGAAGTGAGGAGGACTATTGGGTTACTCCTTTGTTTAAACGTCCCAGAATATACAGTGATCGTACTCCGGGCAGGGCCCAGGTAGAGTTACAGGATAGCTATTTGTCACCGCTGTAACAATGCTCTCTACCTGTATCATGGCACCTGTCGGGGGCCAGGTGAATCTCCCACACACCAGCGGCCCAGCAACACAGGTAACCTACAGGTAATCCAACACGGTTTCATCAGCCTATTATATGCTTCATTGGAGCAGGGTTGTGTTTACCTGTGTGACATACCTGATGCTGCACAAGAGAAGCTCCTAGTGGCTCAACATACACAAACCGTACTGTTCCACATAACTCATCTTTTTAATGAGAACAATTGATAAGCTTTAAACTCATTTCCCCAACTGTTAATCGTGATGTAGATGGTACATTTCATTCTGAAGTGTCCTTTATATTCAAATTTACGCGTTAAATACTTGAAGCCATTTTGTTTTCGTAATCCTGTTCAGTTTTAACACATTGACGTGGTGTCCACATTGTCAGGGTTGATAAACCTAGGGAAGGGACAGAGGTTAAAGCGCCTGTATTTCCCTAGAATGGGCAGATCAGAAAACCGAGGAATATTTTTGAGAGTAAAACTAACTAAGTGACTCTGTTATTAAATAAGTTTGATTGTTTGCTGTTTGATAAAAATAGTACATTGTAAAACTGGAACAGGTAAGTTTTGGTAATTGCTTATCTCTGTATAGAGACATATTTTTATATAAATAATAAACTAGGCCTAATTGTACTGACGTAGTTATTGACGTACAGATGTTTACCCGTACAGCGATGAACACGTGTCCAGGCTGTTTACCCGTGCAGCGATGAACACGTGTCCAGGCTGCTTACCCGTACAGCGATGAACACGCGTCCGGGCTGTTTACCCGTACAGCGATGTATACGTGTCCATGCTGTTTACCCGTGTCCATGCTGTTTCCCCGTGCATCGATGTACACGTGTCCATGCTGTTTTCCCGTGTCCATGCTGTTTACCCGAACAGCGATGAACACGTGTCCAGGCTGCTTACCCGTACAGCGATGAACACGTCTTCAGGCTGTTTACCCGTACAGCGATGAACCCGTGTCCAGGCTGTTTACCCGTACATCGATGTACACCTGTCCATGCTGTTTACCCGTGTCCATGCTGTTTAACCGTACATCGATGTACATGTGTCCATGCTGTTTACCCGTACATCGATGTACATGTGTCCATGCTGTTGACCCGTACAGCGATGTACACGTGTCCAGGCTGTTTACCCGTACATCGATGTACACCTGTCCATGCTGTTTACCCGTGTCCATGCTGTTTCCCCGTGTCCATGCTGTTTACCCGTTTCCATGCTGTTTACCCGTACATCGATGTACAAGTGTCCATGCTGTTTACCCGTACAGCGGTTTACACGTGTCCAGGCTGTTTACCCGGACAGCAATGAACACGTGTCCAGGCTGTTTACCCGTACAGCGATGAAAACGTGTCCAGGCTGTTTACCCGTTCATCGATGTACACCTGTCCATGCTGTTTACCCGTGTCCCTGCTGTTTACCCGTGTCCATGCTGTTTCCCCGTACGGCGATGTACACGTGTCCATGCTGTTTCCCCGTGTCCATGCTGTTTACCCGAACAGCGATGAACACGTGTCCAGGCTTTTTACCCTTACAGCGATGAACACTTGTCCAGGCTGTTTACCCGTACATCGATGTACATGTGTCCATGCTGTTTACCCGTACATCGATGTACACCTGTCCATGCTGTTTACCCGTGTCCATGCTGTTTCCCCGTACGGCGATGTACACGTGTCCATGCTGTTTACCCGTACAGCGATGTATACGTGTCCATGCTGTTTACCCGTGCCCATGCTGTTTACCCGTACATCGATGTACACGTGTCCATGCTGTTTACCCGTGTCCATGCTGTTTACCCGTGTCCATGCTGTTTACCCGTACATCGATGTACATGTGTCCATGCTGTTGACCCGTACAGCGATGTACACGTGCCCAGGCTGTTTACCCCGTACAGCGATGTACACGTGTCCAGACTGTTTTTCACCGAAAAAATCTGTGTTTTTAAAAGTAACATCATTTTGTTGGAAAGTTTTTTCTTCTTTATTACCAGGCCTATATGTTTCGAGATATTTACATATTAAAGCTTTTAATGAAGTTTTTACTCAAAGGTGTGAAGACCAGGGTTTTATCTTTTAATATATAAGTACAAACAGACTTTTGTCCTATTACCGGGCTCGTAACAGGGGGACAAAAACATAGATTGTGCAACTTTCAACATACAAACTGCTACGATTCTGAACATTATTTCCACCAATAAAATATATTGGTACAAACTGACAACAAAAAAATGGGATTCTGTTGTGATTTCATTGGTTATCCTCCAACGCTTGTAACACATAATATAGGCCAAACCCACTGGCCTCACTCTCACACCCAGCTGTAAACCCTACAGACTCACCTGGTGTGATATAAAAAGTCAGGTGTATTGAATGGCTGAGGGCAGGTGAAAACATATAAAGCAACACCGGAAAGTTATATTTATTGTGTACATTGATACATGTCTATTAACCCTGTTACGGAGTAGACCGAGACCACCCAGTTATAACCACTGCACGCAAGCATATACACCAATGAATGCACAACACTGTGGCAAGGTCGTATTGCCCTGCTGTATCAACTTTAGTATTGTTGCAAAGATGCTGAACAGGTGAAAATGAAACCTTTAAGTTCATTTACACAGGTGTAACAAAACCAAGAGTTCAATTTTCCAATCGATAAATTACTTTCTATTTTCACAAAATATCCGAATCGATGACCAATGCACCCACGGCAGTGTCACTGAGAACTGGTAGCCACAGCGAAGTGACATGTAAGATCTATGGATAGCGGCCCGCCTACCTGTACAGGGCCAGGATCAAGGCTATGAATGGTTTTGTACCTGTATAACTATAGGTAACATGTAATGGTATACCCGTGTAGGGACACAGTAACATGCAACATATTAAGGCAGCAGTATATTACAACTGACGCTAGTCAAATACGCCACAGTGTCGATTTGTTCTAGGATGACAGGCGGATAGGGGTTCGAACCCATGGCCCTTTGAACTGTAGACAAATAATCGACAACACCAATTATCCGTGACATGTTGTCCAAGTTTTGTGGGAACAAATAAGGTCCTGACGAATGGTACCACTGCAGATCGGGGATTTATTCAATTCAGTTCATTTATTCACTTTAAGCTTTTCAGCTCATCAGTTAACATATAACAAACCATAAATACAATGGCAGACACTGCAATAATTAGAAGAGCGTTATAAGAGGTAACAAATGAGGGAACTACTGAGGAGTTGGGGATTTTTCTTTTTTTCTTCTTGGGGACACAACAGTGATGAAAACACTTTGTTTTTTTTCTCTGCTTCCTTACAACGTTTCCGTTTCCTAGAGCTTTCCTCGGCAAAACCCCCCTTTTGGCCGTTTATGTTGAACTTTCGTCCAAGTAAGGCAGGACATAGGTTCTGTCCCTGGCCGGGGCAAAGTCCACAAAAAGGTAGTTGTCATTCCCTGTTTAACGTTCAGCATTTCTGGTTATTACAACAACTGGTTTACCCTTTGTCAGTATGATGTGACTGGGTCGAATACTGTGCTGGGTGCCTTCGGCATGGTATTTCAGTGAGGTACCACTCTAAAGTCGGCAACAGACCCGTGCTTTCGCAAGGAGGCAGGTACTCCAACATACCACTTCCATCACACAAACACACACACACATTCACACATACGTTACATACATGAAGCCATGTCCTTACATGACCTTCCCAAAACCAACCCAGACAAACGGTATGCCGGTTCACAATCTTTTCATAGAAATAATTGCTTCTATGAAAAGAGAAATCAATTTGTTTTTAACGTTGTTGCAATGCTTATCGTTTGTGATCCCTAATGAGAGTATGGAAGAGTATTGTACACACGTGTGAGTTCGTTACCTACTTAACTCGATACTAACAATATACGGGTATGGTACCAGCCTCTGGCCCCTGGTACGTTACCTCGTGTCCGCCAGTAGGTGGCTAGGTAATGATGAAAGGCCAGATTAAGAATTATGAATGTTTTTCTAACAAAACCATGCAGTCGTTATCATGCTGTTGTGATAATGTCACCTCCCTCTGCCCAGGTAATGCACAACTTTTACCTATTTCCACCAAAAACATGTACATATGCAGTTAATAGTCATTTGATATTTTAATTTTTCGAAAGATGTCCTATTTACTAATCTTACAGCAAAACGCGTGCCCATATTTTACTTAAATGGTCTCTTTCATAGGATAGAGAAATTCCACGACTGGGGGATTGTCACACATTCGATGTCCCTATTAACATTACACGTTCCATGTTTTGGTTTTAATGGCAGTTGACCCTCTGAACCTGCGTACATTATCCACGCAAGAGAGCCATTCTGGACACGCCGTCCCCTTATTAACATATCATTTGCATACTAAATGCTGTAATATTTGGCACACCGAGAGGATTTATGGTAAAACATCCGTCCCAGTCAAATGCAGACGTACCTTTACCATACAAATGGCCATGTTAGGACCAAGAGCCAGTGCCATCAGCGTAAATCGACAAGGGAGGAGAGCTGTCTTCCTGCGGTAGGGGGACACTGTGTGGTCTATATCTACGCATGCGCCCTACGGTTAGGTGACAATTTGTTTGCTGACATGAACAATCTAAGCTCATTTTGTCAGATTTATGTCTGTCGCACACACTGACAAAAACATATATTTTAACTTTGTTAATAGGTTAACATTGTAAAGGTCCGATAATTAACGCTTCCGGTCTCCGTCTACAAATGATTTATCATCTCAGCGATGTTTTACTATTCCCCTCCAGTTAACCCGTGGTGAGCCCCGTAATTATATGGGACACGTTAATCCATAGAGTGCCCCCTCATTAGGCTGAGATTGTCACATGACTAAGGCATTGGTGAAAGGTGTGGCCTATTCTACTGTAGGCGTGGCTAGACTAGTAGTTCATATTCATATAGTCCTAAATTATCGTTTCATTTTAAAGAAAACGGTAATGATACCGTTAGAGCGATGCTAAAAGTATTGCAATAATCTAGAAAAACTTAACACTTAAATCTGGAAAATCGGCTCCTTTGTTTTAAATATTTGTCGTTTTTGGACAGAACTTGCAAATTCATACCGAGTCGAGTTTTTATACATTAATAAGACTTTCGCGATAAAGAACCGACGAAGGGGCGGATTCGAGTCCTATCTCGTTACTGATGTCTGTATGGGTACCGAGTTGAGTCCTATCTCGTTACTGATGTCTGTATGGGGACCGAGTTGAGTCCTATCTCGTTACTGATTTCTGTATGGGTACCGAGTTGAGTTCTATCTCGTTACTGATGTCTGTATGGGGACCGAGTTGAGTCCTATCTCGTTACTGATGTCTGTATGGGGACCGAGTTGAGTCCTATCTCGTTACAGGTGTCTGTATGGGGATCGAGTTGAGTCCTATCTCGTTACTGGTGTCTGTATGGGGACCGAGATGAGTCCTATCTCGTTACTGGTGTCTGTATGGAGACCGAGTTGAGTCCTATTTCGTTACTGATGTCTGTATGGGGACCGAGTTGAGTCCTTTCTCGTTACAGGTGTCTGTATGGGGATCGAGTTGAGTCCTATCTCGTTACTGGAGTCTGTATGGGGACCGAGCTGAGTCCTATCTCGTTACTGGTGTCTGGATGGGGACCGAGTTGAGTCCTATCTCGTTACTGATTTCTGTATGGGTACCGAGTTGAGTTCTATCTCGTTACTGATGTCTGTATGGGGACCGAGTTTAGTCCTATCTCGTTACAGGTGTCTGTATGGGGACCGAGTTGAGTCCTATCTCGTTACTGGTGTTTGTATGGGGACCGAGCTGAGTCCTATCTCGTTACTGGTGTCTGTATGGGGACCGAGTTGAGTCCTATCTCGTTACTGGTGTCTGTATGGCGACCGAGTTGAGTCCTATTTCGTTACTGATGTCTGTATGGGGACCGAGTTGAGTCCTATCTCGGTATAGTTGTCTGTAATGATGAAGACTATTTAGGACACTACTGCTGTTACTTACCTTTAGGACTGTAGGATAAAACGCTGAACTCTTTGTCGAAGTCGAAGCGACAGAAGAGTTGACCATCTTTGATGACGAACTGGTCACCCCGCTGTAGGATTTGTCGACACTCTATACACCGAAAACAGTGGAGATGATAAACGCTGCCCATGGCCTTCATTACCAACTCCTCCGACGATATGTTGTAGCCACACCCATTACACCGCCCCCGGAAAAGTCTGAAGAAAGATAGAATAACCATGTAAATGGTATTAATGGGGGAAAACCTTCGTCTGAAATTCGATTGTTCTCAGTTCTTGACAAGGCAGGTAACAACTAAAAAAGAAAAAACGAGCAGAGCCAGGGAGGGTTATTTAAGCAACAGATTGCATAGAAGTGGTAGATCTACTGGATGACATGCCACAACCTTGCAGTTTATTGCTTGTATTTTCGTTACATATAATGCAATCTGACGTGATGTTTTTGCATAAAATTAAAAAAATGTACCGCTATGCCTTGGTCAACTACACACAGAGAAACACCTGACGTCAGGCGCTGTTTCGTAGACAAAATTTAAAGACAAAACAACGCCGTCATATCGGATTCATTTGTTTTCAATTTTAAGAAAATAAGTAATACTTCAAACGGATAAAACAATAATATTAAATATCGGCGATTAACCTGCCGGAGGACGCTTTAAATAATGCTTTTTTAAGAACTATTTTCCGGGCGCGTAGCCACACAATGGTAGCAGCAACAATCAGACCATGTTTTAATATAAGTTGCAAATAGCAATGGTAGTTATGCTCCCGTGAATGAAACTCCTCATAGAAGGGATAAAGAAGGCCATTACCATTCCAAATGAAAATGTGCGATCATGGTATACTTAGTTTGGTTGCAGGAAAATGTGTGGTTTGAGAGCTGGGGAGTACAGACAATGTACGAGCGACTATTGAAGGCGGTAGGCACTATAAATGTTAGAGTTCGAGAGCTGGGGAGTACAGACCATGTACGAGCGACTATGGAAGGCGGTAGGCACTATAAATGGAAAGAGTTTGAGGATGGCTGGTGTTGCACCACTCTCTAGATTCTAACTCACATATTACATTGACACCATTCGTGGAGCCGCTCGGCCGTCCTCTGTGCTACACCGATTTACGGACAATACCGATCACATCCGAGATAGGAGGCGCTAAAACAAAGGGTGGATGATCCAGCTTAATCAGGTGATCAGGAATGTCCTGTCGATCGTCTGATAATCCGCCTAGGACCAGTGATCCGGTAAAACGGTCTCGGTAAGCTCTCACGGCCAAAGGGCTGTATATACACTGTGCCAGACATTCTGGTATATACCTATAGCAATGACTTAGGGAAACTGGTAGTATATGGTAAACGTTATACAACATCTCCGCGTGTTTAGTTGAAATTACTTTTGCACTTGCATCTCTACGTCATCAAAAAGAGTTCTGATATTGAGTCCGGAACGAACATGACCTATGTAGCTAATTTGACCTAGACAGACCCAGGTCACATTTGGGTTAATGGGAATGATTTGGTTCGTTTGCTGCACTTAGGAACATTTACTCATGATATTACTTATAACAGGTTCGGTTTTACCGGAGTGTTTAGTTCATGATAATAGGAGCTTGATAACGGGATGATACCTATGTCTTTTTGATACCTGAATTAACCGAATTAAGGAAAACGTTTAGGCTGATATTACTCCATATTGAGTTGCTTAGAGGGAGAGGGAGTTTACGAATTCAATACGACAGCGATTATTCAAGTAACAATACAGATCCCACGATCTCGAATCCACGAATTAAACCCTGATCGAATTGGTATCGTATATCAGGTTTAAGCGCAATCTAAGTTAAATCTGCATACGACATATCACTAGTCTCGAAATAAAATACTTCACTTTGATGAAAACAGGTACGTAACGATATAGAATACTTTTAATATTTTGGATGCAAGGAAATAAGAAAAAGAAACAATTTTCGGGAAGATGGACCAGGGTGACTCCCGAGCGTCTGAAGCAGTAGGCGGCTACCGGGACACTGACAAACAGGGACTCTTCAGGATGGCAGGATCCCTGTGTTTGTCGTGTACACACGGGGGTTGTGTGGGTACGGATGGCGATACATCCCACCGCTACTGTACACCCAAAGTCAACCTGTCACACAAGCCTCGTTCCGGTGACAGCTTGTTTGTATTCACTGCGGAGCACATTCCTCCATGCTGTTTCGTGAAAGCCGCCATGTTGACAGGGGCGGGCAAGCCCAGCAGTGGTATTCACCGAGGACTCGAATGTCAACACTAGCAAGCACAGGTGAACAAAACGTAAGGCAAAAATAAACTATTGTCAAAAATTAACCACAATGTGAAATTGTGTGAATGAAGAATAGGCCATTATGGCGGAGGAGGAGAAACGTCATTGTTTCATTGCGCATGCTCATGGTTACAACAAATAGAGTCGCTGAATACTGGTGTCTGTTTGGCGTAATAGTACATATTCGGCAGGGATAGTGAACAGAGACACATCCTTTCGTGTATTACTGGAGATGGGACCGAATGTGTATTCTATTGACATCGACGCAGATAGAATATGATCCACTTGTTATACGGTCTTGAAAAAAAAGGAAACCTCCTTCTGTTTTTAACGCATGTCAAACAAATAATAGGATGTTGACAGTAGAGTTTATACCCCTCCCTCTCCCAGCGGGGTGGAAGACGAGTGTTGATAGACTCCTTAAAAGGTCAACTCGGGGCAGCCGTCCTGTACTCTAAAGCTCACCACTTACGTTGAGTAACAGCGTGTATATAAATCCGCTGCATACAAGAACAGAATATACCCGTTTAATTTATTATGCAATAAATGTAAGTTCAACGAGTTTTATGACTGTGTACTTTTTTGTAGAGGTTGGGATCGGTGGCAGTGTTACGACAGGGAAAGTGAAGAGGGGGCTGACTGTTAACGGCGCCGTAATGTTGATGTATACTTCACCATCTACCCAACGTGTACCGTGTGTATACTTCATAAACTAGACATAGTGTACCGTGTGTATACTTCACCATCTACTCATAGTGTACCGTATGTATGCTTCATAAACTAGACATAGTGTACCGTGTGTATACTTCACCATCTACCCATAGTGTACCGTATGTATGCTTCATAAACTAGACATAGTGTACCGTGTGTATTCTTCACCATCTACTCATAGTGTACCGTGTGTATTCTTCACCATCTACTCATAGTGTACCGTGTGTATTCTTCATCATCTACATATAGTGTACCGTGTGTATACTTCATCATCTACATATAGTGTACCGTGTGTATACTTCATCATCTACATATAGTGTACCGTGTGTATACTTCATCATCTACCATCAGTGTACCGTGTGTATACTTTATAAGCTACCCATAGTGTACCGTGTGTATACTTCATCATCTATCCATTGTGTACCGTATGTTTACTTCATAAACTACCCATAGTGTACCGTGTGTATACTTCATCATCTATCCATAGTGTACCGTATGTTTACTTACTTCATAAACTACCCATAGTGTACCGTGTGTATACTTCATCATCTACATATAGTGTACCGTGTGTATACTTCATCATCTACATATAGTGTACCGTGTGTATACTTCATCATCTACCCATAGTGTACCGTGTGTATACTTTATAAGCTACCCATAGTGTACCGTATGTTTACTTCATAAACTAACCATAGTGTACCGTGTGTATACTTCATAAACTAAACATAGTGTACCGTGTGTATACTTCATAAACTACTCATAGTGTACCGTATGTATACTTCATAAACTAAACATAGTGTACCGTATGTATACTTCATAAACTAAACATAGTGTACTGTGTGTATACTTCACCATCTTCTCATAGTGTACCGTGTGTATTCTTCATCATCTATCCATAGTGTACCGTATGTATACTTCATCATCTACATATAGTGTACCGTGTGTATACTTCATCATCTACATATAGTGTTCTGTGTATATACTTCATCATCTATCCATAGTTTACCATGTGTAATACTTCATCATCTACCAATAGTGTGCTGTGTGTATACTTCATCATCTACATATCGTGTACCGTATTTATATTCATCATCTACATATAGTGTACCGTGTGTATACTTCATCATCTTTTCATTGTGTACCGTGTGTACACTTCCTCATCTTTTCATTGTGTACCGTGTGTATACTTCCTCATCTACCCATAGTGTACCGTGTGTATACTTCATCATCTTTTCATGGTGTACCGTGTGTACACTTCCTCATCTTTTCATTGTGTACCGTGTGTACACTTCCTCATCTACCCATAGTGTACCGTGTGTATACTTCCTCATCTTTTCATTGTGTACCGTGTGTATACTTCATCATCTTTTCATTGTGTACCGTGTGTACACTTCCTCATCTACCCATAGTGTACCGTGTGTATACTTCATAAACTACCCATAGTGTACCGTGTGTATACTTCATAATCTACCCTTAGTGTACCGTGTGTATACTTCATCATCTACTCTAAGTGTTTTCTGTCAATAGTTATGAATACTTTTCTATTTTTAGATGCGGATGACGGCGAATTGTTTTTCACCTCACCTGTTTGGGTGACAATAACATTTAAAACCGTCTTAATGGGAACATTAAAACGTATAAATCATGTTATAAACTGTAGCATTAATGACACGAATGTATCTTTCTGACAAATGTCTCGTAATGCTTGCACCACACACGATTCAGATTGGGGAAGGGTGTTTTGACAAATTTTATGTTCAAATTCACTTTATCATTACTTTAGATCTGGAGGTAAGCAACAGCAGACGCCAGCTGTCTCAAAGGAGCCGCACGTTAGTCCCAGCGATGGTGTGTTACCATCCTAACGGCTACACTGTACGTACACCTTCGGAATTGTAACATTTGTGATCGTCAAAATTAAAAGAAATGTATAAAGATTGTGTTGGTTAATGAGGTGAAGGTCAATGGCTGTGAGCCGTAGGGGGATTGGTTAATAAGGTGAAGGTCAATGGCTGTGAGCCGTAGTGGGATTGGTTAAGGAGGTGAACGTCAATGGCTGTGAGCCGTAGGGGGGCTGGTTAGTGAGGTGAAGGTCAATGGCTGTGAGCGGTAGGGGGATTGGTAAATGAGGTGGAGGTCAATGGCTGTGAGCCGTAGGGGGATTGGTTAATGAGGTGAAGGTCAATGGCTGTGAGCGGTAGGGGGATTGGTAAATGAGGTGAAGGTCAATGGCTGTGAGCCGTAGGGGGATTGGTTAAAAGCGGGGATCTGGTTCAATGACCCTTTCTCTAAAGGTAAATTAATCCTATATACGTACTATATTAAAGAAAAAGGCGACGAACAAACTGTGAAATATGAGATAATCGATGAAACAGTCACGGAATAAAATGTCAAACGAAAATGTAAAACAGCATGCGAATCCCACCAATCTGAATGGAGATTGAAATTAGTTATAATGGTCGTAAACGCGTCGCGCTAACATGTCCGTTAGGGTATAATAGTCAGATAGCCCTGTATGTCGTGCTAGCCCTGTATGCTCGGGTATAAAGGTCGTACTAGCCCTGTATGTTCGGGTACTGTGGTCATACAGGCGTCATGCTAGCTCTGTATAATCGGGTATAATGGTCGCACAAGATTCCCGCTAGCTCTGTATGTTCGAGTAAAATGGTCGTACAAGCGTTGTGCTAGCCCCGTATGTTCGGGTATAATGGTCGTACAAGCGTCGTGCTAGCCCTGTAAGTTCGAGTATAATGGTCGTACAAAATTCGTGCTAGCTCTGTATGTTCGGGTATAACGGTCGTATACGCGTCGTGCTAGCCCTTTATATTCTGTTATAATGGTAGTGCAAGCGTCGTGCTAGCCCTGTATCTTCGGTTATAATAGTTGTACATGCGTCGTACTAACCCTGTGTGCCGGGTATAAAGGTCATACTTGCCCTGTTTGTTCAGGTTTAAAGGTCGTACTTGCCCTGTGTGTCGGGTATAATGGTCGTACTAGCCCTGTTTGTGCGAATATACATTTTTGTGATGTTCGGTACTCACTTGTCATAGTCGTGTTTGCAGTACAGTTGTTGATCCTTGACGAAACACGACCCGGACAGAGGAAGCCGACAGATGGCGCAAAGTAGACACGTCTCGTGCCAGAAATGGTCCTGGACCTTCAGTAAGAACCTGTCCTCAATTGAGTGTTGACAGCCTGCACATTGTTCCATTTCCAAGGTAGGCATCGTACCTGAAATCAACGTAATAGTGTTAAAAACGTTGGTAGCGAAACTTTGAGTTCATTGTTATCAGTTCAAAGGTATACATGTAGTCAACTGAACTATGTATGACTGCAGAACTCGTTCAGGATGAATACATAATTCACTTAGGAACATTTAAGGGAGTGTGACGGATCTTCCCTCCGGTTCATCGGCCCCTCACTAATTCATCGTGGAGGAAATGCTGTTTGAAAAAATAATTTCAAGGTCACCAGCAAAGAATATCCATATTGCTCTACTTACAATTACGGTCGAAAAGCGTTGTAAGTAATCATTGATTGGAAATTTATCTGCGATAGAACGACTCACCGCCCAAACAACTCCCGGCTCTATTACAACTCCTGGTTAAACGATAACGAACAACTCCTGGTAAAACTGTACAGAACAACTCCTGGTAAAACTGTACAGAACAACTCTTGTTAAAACTGTACAGAACAACTCCTGTTGAAAATTGTACAGAACAACTCCTGGTAAAACTGTTCAGAACAACTCCTGGTAAAACTGTACAGAACAACTCCTGGTAAAACTGTACAGAACAACTCCAGGTAAAACTGTACAGAACTCCTGTTGAAAATTATACAGAACAACTCCTGGTAGAACTGTTCAGAACAACTCCTGGTAAAACTGTACAGAACAACTCCTGGTAAAACTGTACAGAACAACTCCAGGTAAAATTGTACAGAACAACTCCTGGTAAAACTGTACAGAACAACTCCTGGTAAAACTGTACAGAACAACTCCTGGTTAAACTGAACAGAACAATTCCTGGTAAAACTGTACAGAACAACTCTTGGTAAAACTGTACAGAACAACTCCTGTTGAAAATTGTACAGAACAACTCCTGGTAAAACTGTTCAGAACAACTCCTGGTAAATTGTACAGAACAACTCCAGGTAAAATTGTTCAGAACAACTCTTGGTAAAACTGTACAGAACAACTCCTGTTAAAACTGTACAGAACAACTCCTGGTAAAACTGTTCAGAACAACTCCAGGTAAAATTGTACAGAGCCACTCCTGGTAAAACTGTACAGAATAACCCTTTGGCTGCTTAGAAACCCACTTTTCCTTTAATTTTCCATCGAACCATTTTAGAACCTATATTACAACTTTCCACCAGGACATTTACCTGGCCGAAATCATAACTCTATAGAATAACAAGCTATCTAGTGGGTACCAACGCGATCGGGATACACATATTGGTGAATTCTGTTTTAACTTTTACTAGTGTATATTGTTTAAGGTTTACATTACAATCAGGTACCACACGGGAAAATCTTGCTAGTCATCGGGTCCTATTCATTTTTCTCCAAATGGGAAACAATGCAGAAAAAAACAAAGACTGACGGAGTGTTACTAACGGTTCATGTGAATACCCCAATAGTACCGGAGCCGACATAGAACACCCCGCCATTGTACATTCTCAAACTATCCTACTTCATAAGAAATAATACCCTCAATTAAAGAAAGTGAGTCTGTCGCCAAAAGCATTGAAACGTCGACAAAGGAAATTTCCAGCCGATAGAAAGGATAATACGACCCAGGCCGTACGAACAATGTTAGTAATTAGTCAAAATCTATTTTGTTTAAGCAGTCCCTCTTGGTATATGTTCTCTTTTTGTTTTCACTGATTCACACATTTAAAACACCTTGTCTGCGGATTTCCTTTATCAGTGAATCTGCCGCTAGGTTTCGAGCAATCAGCGCCATTTTCCTTTGTCATGAAGTTTAGTGGCACACTCGCGATTCAGCCGATAACGTGTTTGTTAGGGAACTATGGATTGGTATGTTGTAAACGATCGGTAATCAACGTGTCAGCGTTCACGGCAATCATCTTGCGTTCACGTTAGCGTTTCATTTCTTGAGAGAGAATATCGCGAGGAAACATGGATTGTCGATGTTGAAGTGGAGATTCCACCTATTTGATAAGTGATTAATTAATTTGAAATTTTAATTCGATTAATCCTTAATTATTAAAATATGTTATGGTGTTGCAACCGGGTGCCATGACAACAAAATGAAAAGGAAATTACTTAGATTTTTGGACTGACGTTTGCCGAAAGTATCTGTATGATTGAAATGAATATGAAGTTTGTATGAAATCCAGGGCTACCTGATCGTTTGTATCCGTCAATCACGCGCCGTTTATCGATAACTGGGTTACTCGTTGATGCCTGTACAATACATGTCAGATGGTTTGTTTTAACGTCAGAGAATTGCGTGTTACTAGTCATTATGTTACTACAGTCTTTACACACGTAAACACAGTGACATGTGAGACACAAGGCACCCCATACCTGTACACAGTTACACAAAGTCACGAGGATTTATTTATGTAAATTATCTAGCGAGTCGGCTCTAAACAAAAAATATGTTCATCGATAAAATACAAGAATGCAAATCGTATTGTTTTGGGTAATACATTTTAAATTAAATTTTTTAAACATAAAGTGTCAGGAACACAGAAACAATACAGCATACACATGATAGGAATTTTACTGCAGTTTGAAGCTTTGGTCGATAGCAATACCTAGCGCAGTATCATACCTTCCAACCTCTCCTGATATTGTCAATGACGAATTTACCAGACATTATCCATTATGCTTTTGCCAAAATAACATCAATAGCAATTTCGTCCCACCTTGACAATGGCCATAAAATGTCACTCAACATTATCAAAAGCAGTTTACCAGATATTGCCAACGACAACTTTACCAGACATTTCCAACGACAACTTTACCAGATATTGCCAAAGATAGCTTTTGTCAAACTTGACCTGTTTATGTTTTATCCGACATTTCCTATGACAACTTTACCCGACATTGTGCAAAGGTTTTATTCGATATTTGACAAATGCACATTTACCTGTACATTGCAAATGGCACATTTTCCTGACCTTAATGAACAGTTTTTCGATTCTTGCCACTGCTTGCCACTGACAGCTTTACCTGACATTAAGGGTTATGCTTTTCCAATGTATACATTTCCATTCACCATACCCTTCGTATGATAGCTTTATCAGGCCCTGTCGTATACAGCTTTTGCCTTGCTGTCGACCCTTGACTATGACAGCCCTGTTACTACCGATGACGGGTTTATCCAACCTTGGCCAGCCTTGGGTATGACAGCTCTTGTCGATGACAGCCCTTTGTGTTCGGGTATCGCTGACATAGAAAGTGTGGTCACGTCTCTATGATCAGCAAACCTTTCAGAACCTGGCCCTTTAATGCTACAAACAACGGGCTGTAAAGGCCCGATCACAAACCGCTCGCCGCACACTGATTCAAGAAGGGGGAGAAGTGGAGGTAGGAGGGGGGAGGCGATGGGGATCTAACAATGGAGACAGAGCTTACATTTGGAAACATGCCTTTGATCAAGGACCGTGTATTTTGATGGTTTTAATCTTAGGTCATTAGAACTCTTGGTTTATAGACAGTTTTTCAAGCGTTCAGAGAACGACCCAGAGAACATACGTTCATGCTCATAAAACTCAAACACGCCGTACTGTATCTTCTGTTCGCCAACTACCGTTTAATTCTCGCTAAACACTCACACCTGCATTGCGCACGCGTGAAAATTCACACGAAATTGTTCAACTGTGTCATTGCGCTTTGGTGTGAAATGGACTTCATTTTATAGCACGGGTTTATATCTCTCTAGCGCCTGAACTAATGGCGAACCAAATAAAGGGAGGGCATGCGGTAAACTGGGTCCCTACAAAAGCGCCAATGACTCCCTGTAGCCACTCTCTGTCAATGCTCTCCACCAAATTAGCACGTGACTTGGTCCTTGAGGTCAGCTTCATGCCAAAGCTGACCTCGTGGGCCAAGTCACGTGTACTATCTAAAAGAAAAGGTATTGATCCTTTCATAAATGTTAAGTTATAATTTAGATATCCCCGATTACAACCTTATGATGGCATGTAGAAAAAGCTAAAAGCCGTGTATTATCAAAGCCCTAATATCTCGTACAGTCGTGTTCATCGTAGACGGAAAATTGCAGTATCTGAACAATAATGCCATTACTACTGTTTAACTGTCTTACATTATTATATATTCGATAGTCTTAAACCACCATATGTTGTGTGGTCTTTAGTTGAGGCATAATGATCTTAAGTCACTGTATGGTTGATGGTCTTAAGTCACTGTATGGTTGATGGTCTTAAGTCACTGTATGTTAGATAAAATATGAAGTGTCAAATAATAAATGCCAGCTTGTCAACGTTATAACATGCAAAGCAATAATTGGTTTTCGAAGTTTCAATCCTAACTCGACACCTCCGACGTCATATGGAATTAAAAAATGATTAAGTTACAATAAGCATTAATTCTAAGTTTAAGAGGTTTTATACTCATATTGTACGATAATTGTGTTACATACTATAGGCTCTAATTGCGTGGCGAGGTTACAAATATATGATTATTTATTCTCACAACAGTTCTAAACATGGACATTAACGTCGAGAACATCTCAAAACAGTTCAAAATGGAACTCAATGAATAATCAGGAAGAAACAATAAAGCAGTTAAATCTAAATTTGACGATTTTAGAACTGTGTTTTTTAAAATTATATCCATTGTATGTTAAATTATACAAATGTGTTAATAGGATGAAAGCGGCGAGTTGACGAGCGGAAATGATGGCTATGGTGTTGTCGTGACGGGGGTGTCATCATCCGGGGCTGTAGTGCTAATGCAGTGCACAATGCCGCATATAAATCTCAGCTCGGAATTATCAGCAGAAGTTCCTGGTCTGACGGCTGTTTTAAGTTATGTAAAATAACTTACGCGATGATAACTACATTTGACTCACACATCTACGGCGTCGATCAATGCCTATGATGTCACAAATATAAGGAGCATTGATCACTGCAGGTGACGTCATAAATTTACGGCGTCGATCAATGCCTATGATGTCACAAAGTTACGGCGTTGATCACTGCTTTTTACGTTATACATCAACGATTTTGGTCAT